ATCACTGCAGAAGCAACACGAAGACATGTCTCATGCTCAAGACCAACAACCACCGCCACCATCTTCTGCTCCCACCCCTCATCACCAAGAGCAACAGCAGCAGCAGCCGCCACCACTTCCATCACAACCAAACCAGTCAACCGCTCCACCTGTTCTTTCCTCTCATCCTCCTCCTCAGCCCCCAGTTAATTCGCTTCAGCAGCAACAACAACCATCTCCACCCGATTTACCTCCTCCTCTTCAATCTTCCCCCACTCACCAGCAGGACCAGCAGCAACAACAATATCCTCCTGGCTCTCACTCTCTTCACCCATCACTTCCACCTCTCGTCGTTCATCGACCCAGTGGTTATCGTCCAGCAGCCCTTCTTCACCTTCCAGACCATCTTCAACCCGTACCGTCAACCGTGCAGCCACCACCAACACAACAGCACACATCTTCCCATCTCCAACACCTGCATTCGACAACTCCGCCTGATAGAACTTCATCAGAAGACCATTCTCAACCGGTAGCACCACCTCCCTCACCCAACCGGATCGATATCAACTACCCACCAGCGATGAGCACGTCGCACTTTGCAGCACCATCTTCATCTTCTACTTCGTCATCTGCGAACTTCACCTCTCATGTGCCGGTGTCCACTTTCACCTCACCTCCAAGTCATTTGTGTAGTGGTCGCACCTGCTTCCAATGCAGGATTCACGCCACTTGTTTCGCCATTTCCCAACTTCCACCCGAGCCTCTCAATCGCAAAGAAGCTATGGCAGGAGCCTTTAAGGAGCAGTGGTTAGCAGCGGAAAAGGCAGAACTGGAAAGTTTACTCGACCGGGGGACTTGGACTTTGGAGCCACTACCCAAGGGAAAGAAGCTCGTCGGAGTAAAATGGGTCTACCGGGTGAAGGTGAAGGGTGATGGATCTTTGGACAAGTTCAAGGCTCGTTTGGTCGCCAAAGGATATTCTCAAGTTCCTGGAGAAGACTACAATGAAACATTTGCTTCGGTCGCCAAGTTCACCAGTGTCCGCGCTCTTCTTGGTATGGCAGTACGAATGGATCTCTACATCATCCAGCTGGACGTCTCCAACGCCTTTCTTTACGGCATTTTAGAGGAAGAAATCTACATGGCTCAACCTGATGGGTATCATGATGGTACTAAGAGAGTCTGCAGGCTGCACAAGTCCCTGTATGGCCTGAAACAAGCTCCACGGGTTTGGTATCACGCATTGGAGTCTGCCCTGCTGGCACAAGGTTTCACCCAGTCTGAGTATGACCCTGCACTCTACATCCTGCACACGGAGGTGCATGAGGTACTGTGGTTGATCGTGTATGTGGATGACATCCTCATGGTGTCAGGTTCTCTCTCCCTTCTCACCCACATCAAAGGTATGCTCACCAAGGAGTTTGTCATGACAGACATGGGTGAGCCATCATATTACCTTGGCATGAACATCATTCGTGACCGTCCTTCTCGCTCTCTATTTCTTTCACAAGAGCGATACATTCACAAGGTCCTCTCTCGCTTCGGCCTTCTCACCTGCAATCCTGCATCTACACCTCTCCCTTCTAACTTCCAGCATTCTTCTCCTTCCACTTCTGACCTTCAGCCCTCTCAGTCTGCACCCCTTTCTGACTGGGACGAGTTTCACGAGGCTCTTGCGCCTTCATCCTCTTCTTCCATTTTTTCTTCCACCAAACCTCCCTCATCACTCCTTTCCCCCCTCGACATTAATCTTTACCAGAGCATTGTCGGTAGCCTCATGTACGCATCCGTCTGCACCCGCCCCGATCTCTCTCAAGCTGTGGGCATGCTTTCTCAATTCCTTTCCTCACCATCTACTCAGCACTTGAACGCTGCAAAGCGTGTCCTGCGCTATCTCTCCGGCTCTAAATCGTTTGGTCTCCTCTTTCATGGACATGAGCATGGTAGTGTCTTGCATGGCTTTACGGATGCGGATTGGGCAGGTCCATTTTCAAAGCGTAAATCCACGGGAGGCTACATGTTTGTGATGGCGGGAGCAGCGATTTCTTGGCAATCGAAGAAGCAAGGCTGTGTGGCACTATCTTCAACGGAAGCGGAGTACATGGCTGTGACGCAAGGAGCACGAGAGGCTGTGTGGTTGCGAGGGTTGCTGATGGAGTTGGGTCTTCCCCAGCTTGAGCCGACCGTTCTCCACATTGACAACACGTCGGCAATCGCCTTGAGCAAGAACCCGGTCTATCATGGACGCACCAAGCATATTGATACCCAGTATCACTACATTCGGGAGCTGATTAAGAACAAGGTTGTGACACCGGTCTACTGCAGCACCACGGACCAGGCTGCTGATTTTCTGACTAAGATACTTCCACGGCACCTATTCGTCCTTGGACGCCACCGTGTTGGATTGGTGCCGCTCGAGTCTCTTGAGTCCTTCTCCACTGCTGTCCCTTCCGCTCCTTCTTCGTCTCGCTCTGAGGGTCAGCAGTGCGGGGGGGTGTTGCAGTGAACTGTGGCTGCTGCTCGCGTGGCACCAGGGTGGCGGGAAATATTTCACGTGGCGAAATTTTTCGCCGCAATTTCCCCGTCAGCCAAAATCCGAATATGCAAAAGGCATCTTGCAAAAATGCCCACTCGCCACCACACCCTTCCTATCTCCAGACAGCAAAAACCTACCAATCAAAACCTATCAATCCTCCACCTCAACTCTCCTCCTATCCTCATCATCTTTCTCATCCCATTATCCACCAATCAAACAAAAGATTCCATACCAAGCCTTCCAATCCAAGCCACATTCATTCCACTCACCAAGCCTTAAAATCAAAGCCAAATACATCCCATTCACCAAGCCTTAACTTCAAGGCCACATTCATTCTCTTCACCAAGCCTTCACTTCAAGGCCACATTCATCACCCCCATCTTATCCAACTCAACTAATCACAACCATTCATCCTTTCCTCATCCTTCATCCAACATCAAGCTCCACCAAATACAAAAGGGTCCTCTTCATTTCTTCAAAAAAATATTCTTCAATGCTACTTCATACCCAAACTCTCAACAAGTTCTTCAAACTCCCTCAAGGCCAACCTCAAGTCCTCCTCCTTATGCTCCAACTCCTAAGGCTTCATCATCACCACCAACCTCTCCCAACCCAAGCTCATAGCCATATGCTCCAATTCTAGAAAAGTTTGTGCCACATAGTTTTACTTCTAGATCATCAAGGATAGTTGATCTCAAGATCCTACCATGTACCTCCCTTTGATTAATGTACTTTAAAGCTTCAAGCAAGATTGGTGTATTCTTCTACCCAAGGTCCAAGCTCCAACCTCAACATCCAAGCTTGGAGGTTTCTCTTCATTCAACAAACATTATCTACAAGTCAACATTCAAGATCAACTTCTCAACATTCAAGCTTTGAGGTTCTTCATTAACAACTAAGACAACATTTAAGCTTGAAGTGAAGATCAACTTCTACAACATAATAGTAAGAACTCTTTTCAAGTAAGTGGTTATCCCTTCCTCTCATTTTTCACCAAGTTTCTTTTACATCAAAGTTCATTTGCTATTATCAAGTTGTTTTATATTCAAGCTCTTTCCATAATAATCAAGTTCTTATTCTCAAGTTCGTTACAAGTTCCTTTCAAGTATCTTTCAAGCCCTTTACCTTTTCTTCAATACTTTCTTTTAAGCCAATCTTGTTTGGTCCCTTTTATCCCTATCAAGTCTATCTATCTTCTCCTTCAAAACTTTCTTCATTCTTAATTGCTCCATACTTCAAGATTTCCTTTCAACTTGTTTTTGCTTTTCAACTTGGTTTTACTTTGATCTTACATTTTATTTCTAGGTGTTTTCTTTCTTTCTCCTTACCATTTACCCTCCCTCGTCTATAACTTCAATCTCAAGACACAGTTGGTGAATCGAGCCGCACAACCTTTCAGGTGCTGACATTTCTCATTGAAGCGGCGTGACGATTTTCTTCAAACAGCTCAAATTTTCAGTTGATAGAAAATTCATTTTGTCTAACAATGAAAATGATCTCCACTGTGAAAAGAGAAATATGAGTCTTGAATGCAATATGCTAGACTTGGCTCGTTTCCACTACTGAAAGATTAGTATAAAAAACGAAATGAAGCTGCCTGCGAGTGGGTGTTAGCAGTTTCATGCAGACTTCAAACCAATCAAGCAGCCAAAGACAATGACACATCAAAGCCGAGGACTGCGCGCATTCACCTGGTGCTTGAACTCGTTCGCAGAGCGAGCCTCGGGGGCCATATTTTCGTCGCATTTCTTCCACCTGAAGTCTCCCACGTTGAGTGTCTGCGCAGGACATGCCCAACCCAACCTCCATCCCCCAAAGCTCGCTGCTGCTCTGCTGATACACACCGCACAAAGCACAGTGCACACCGCGCGCCACCTATTTTCTGCACTGCGAAGAGAACTATGCTTTGACCTTCGGGAGCCTACAGTACTATGCGAAGTACAACACCGCTCGGCTCGAGCGGCAAGGAGTTTCCTATGATAGGCAGGAAAAGGTGGACGCAGGCAAACCGTACAAATATATTCGAGGTTGCTTTTTTTACAAAGTTGGCTTCCTTGATATTCACACATCAATCGAGTTTGTGTCATTGCGTACAATATTTTCTCGAGTTCCTTTTCCGCGATGCACGGCTGCCCACGACTTTTGTAGGCGTCGCTTTCGCGACTCCCTCTCGCGCGAAACGAGACGCCATAGAAACTTAAATTGCGCAAGAGGCCACAACGAGGCTACGAATCGTAAATTGCGCACGAGTACAAGTGGCGTGAACAAGAAATAGTATTAGGTCCTTTTTCGAAAGTCCACGTCTCCTCGACATTCCGACTCACGCGCAGGCCGCGTGCATTCCTTTCCCGTCTGCATTTCGCTCCCGCCACGGGGATTGCTGACGTGTCTGCATAGACCACGCATCCTGTAACCCAGGCTCGCGCATCCCGTGCGACTGCGCGGCGCCAATACTACTGCGGGAGGTGTGCGGCCTTCTGACACGATGGATCGTCGCGGCTCGGCGTGTCCAGCCCACGCGCTTCGACTAGTAGCAGTCTTACTGATAATTACTGTCGCCCCCGCTACCGCTGGTCGGCGGATAGGTAAGCGGCCTATCATGCTGACGTGGGGATGACGTTGCGCGGTTGAAATGAATACTGTACCCGCTCCCTTGGAGTCTAAATGGAGACGGTGGACGACGCTACACGATGGTAAGAAACGGTGGACGGCGGTGGAAGTGTGGCAATCGTCTCTGCGGCAGCCGTCCGGCAGCCAGATGAGCAAACGCAGCGCGCGCTCTTTTCCGCCCCGCGGCGGCATTCATCGGTCACCGCGGCCCCGCGGCTCATGACTGATCACCATGTCTAGCACCAATTTTTGTGCTTTACCGCGTGGCACCGCACCGCCAAACCCACCTCGCCAATCCCAGACCGTATATGCAATTTTCCACCCTAGGCCGCTCGTTTCTTACCACCTCCTCCGCCCGTCTTTCTCCTTTTCCCCCTTTTCTTCCTTCCCTCGCCCGCCCTCCTCCCGCCCCCCTCCCCTCCCGCATCCCCGTCCTCAATACAGACACACTAGGCACAACGACAAACGCCGACTCCGCCGGCACCGCGACCACGGCCGGCACCGCAAGCTCTGTCGACGCGACAGCTGGCGCGGCGGCATTGGACCTCGCGGCTCTGGCGGTGGACGCGAAGACGCGTGCGGAGATTAAAGCCCTCGCGCCGCTGATTGGCGCCGCGGACCTGACGGGCGTCGGCAAGCCGCCCGAACGCGCCTCGTACTTAACTAAGGACGCGTTCGCCGTGGCGGCGCGCAAGTGGCTCGCGGCGGTGAAGCAGCGCGTGCAGAAGCTGATTCAGCAGGCGGCGGGAGGCGGAGGGAAGGGGCGCGGGACGAGCAAGGGGAGCAGCGAACACGGCACAACCGTTGGTGAGAGTCACGCGGGGGCGCAACGATGGGTGGAGTGCGGTGGAATGGGGTGAAGGGCATGGTTTACCGGTTCTCATGTTGAACCTGAGTTCTTGCTGGTAAGGTGCTTGGGAATTGAATTTTCACTCGACTCCTCCTCTCTCCCCTTCCTCCTCCCGCGCTACCCTCATCCCCCTGCCCCTCCTCTCCCACTATCGTCAGACTGCAGTCTAGGATACTCGTCCCCCACCACCATGTGATCGATTTTTGAAAATTCTCAACCTTTTGAAATACAAGGACCGCAGTCTAGTAGGATACACGCCCCCCACGACCAAGGACCTCGCCAAGCTGCGTGTGCTTACACCCATCCCTCTTATCTCCCTCTTCTCTCGCTGTGCCTCCCCCCTCCCCACTGCCAGACCGCAGTCTGGGATACGTCCCCCCCACGACCAAGGACCTCAATCCCGCCAAGCTGCCCAATCTCAACACCGTGTCGCGCTACCTCACCGTGGGCCTCACGCTCGACCCCACCTCGCAGAAGCTCACATGGGATTTCAAGAAGAGCGTGAGCCACAGCAAGTATTTTCCTGAAGACGATTTCGACCAGGGCAACTGCGGTGGGTGCTGTTGGCTGCCGTTGACATGCGTTGACTTCTGTTGACCCTGACTTCTGTTGACTTCTGTTGACCGGCGTTGACTTTTGTTGACCAGCATTGACTTCTGTTGACCGGAGTTGACTTCTACTGACCGCCACTGTCTACTGTCGACTGGCATGGAGTTCTGTTGACCCGCGTTGATTTCTGTTGACCTGCAATGACTCTGTTGACCCGCGTTGACTTCTGTTGACCTGTTTTGACTGCTGTCGAAGTGTTGTTGACTTGTGGGCGGCCATTGACTTCATTGACTTGGGCCCACCACCAAACCCCGCCCAGGTTCCTGCTGGGCGTACGCAGCGCAGGCGGGTGGCTCAGGGCGCGTATGTGAAGCGGCTGCTGCTACCCCTTCAAATGCCACAATACCCCCACCTCCCTTCCCATCCTCCCTACCCTTATCCCAGGCTCCTGCTGGGCGTATGCGGCGGCGCGGGCGGTGCAGGGCGCGTATGCGAAGCTCAAAGAGACGGACGATGATGTGTTCCCCAGCGGGATGAGCCTGTCGGTGCAGCAGCTGGTGGACTGCACGGGCGCTGCTGCCTCGTGCCGGGGGGGTTACCCCGAGGCTGCCCTGCAGTATGCCGCTAAATACGGGCTGCAGGATGAGGCGAGTTACGCCTACACGGGGGCGAGCGGCAAGTGCAGTGTTAACAAGGATACGGTGAGGTTTAGGAGTCGAGTCAAAAGGTACCTCGGTACCCTCAAGCAGTGAGATACGTTAACAAGGACACGGTGGGTTTTCAGTCGACCCGCTATGCGTGCCTTGCTACCGAAGTGCGCCTCGGTACCCGAAATGCGCCTCGGTACTCTGAATCTGCGCTGCTTTCTCTTCCCTACCACCCCTCTCCACCGCTCTCAGGAATTCTACAACATCAGCATGTACGAGCAGGTGCCGCTACCGGGGCCGCTGGGGCTGGTGGCTGGCCTGTGCTCCCTCTTCCTTACCGTGTGCTTTCTCTTCCCTACCACCCCTCACCGTCCCTCAATCCTCTCCACCTCTCTCAGGACTTCTTCAACATCTCGATGTACGAGCAGGTGCCACTGCCGGGGCCGCTGGGGCTCATTCTCGCGCTTCAGAAGCAGCCCGTCATCGTCACCATCCGCGCCTCCTCCCAAGACTTTATCGATTACGCGGTGAGCTGGGGTGTTTCGCTGCTGCTGCTGCTGCTGCTGCTGCTGCTGCTGCTGCTGACAAAGACTTTCCATGCACACAAGCACATCAACGTCCCCACCATCCGCGCCTCAGCCCAGGACTTCCATCGAATACGCGGTGAGTTGGGGTGATTCGCTGCTGCTGCTGCTGCTGCTGCCGCCGCCACCGCCGCTGCTGCTGCCGCTGGCGAGACTTGGGAGGGATTGAACCACACTTCCCCTTCCCACCCACACACCCACCCACCCTCCCTCCTCCCTGCACAGGAGGGCATCTACGAGGGCTGGAACTGCTACAGTTTTGAGACGCCTCAAAACTGCCTCCTTCCATCACTTCTCCCTTCACAGGAGGGCATTTACGAGGGCTTGAACTGCTACAGCCCCGTGGGGGAGGTCGTTGGGGACACGCAGGACAACGGGTTCAGAGCGACAGCCACAGCCACCAACAACACGGGGCTGCTGGACCACGTGATGCTGGCCGTGGGGTATAACTACGATGTGCCGGGCAGCGCACAGAATTATTTCATTCTGAAGAACAGCTGGGGGCCCGACTGGGGGGAGAATGGATACATGCGGATCCGCATGGAGGGTGACGCGCTTGGCACGTGCGGCATGCTGGTGAACCGCGGGCTCTACCCCGTTGTGAATGGTGAGGCGCGTTGTGAAAGTTGATGTGGAACCATCCTTTTCCACTTTTGACTCCCTTGCGCTTGTTTTCTTCTTTGAAATAAATATGTATAGATACATGATATATATAGATATTTTTCTGTCTTTTCTCTCTTCGTTCTGTCTTTCTGTCATTCTTTCTTTCTTCCTTGTTTATTCTGATGGTACCATGAAGCTCAATCCCTCTTATTACCCTCGCATTTCCCCCTTTCCCTTTTCCCCTTTCTCCCTCCGTCATGCCCCTCTCCCATCCCCTACCCTCTCTCCAGCCCGCCAGACCATAGACCCCTGCGGCACGTCACCCTGTGGGGGCGGCACGTGTGTGGCGGACCCGAGTGGCAACGGCAAGTACACGTGTCAGTGCTCGGACCTGCTTGTTCCTGCTGAGAACCGCGACGGCACACCCACCTGCACGATAAGTGAGTGGGTGCTTGTGTTGTGGGCAGGGAGGAATGCTTTGAACTCCACATGCACCATCAGCGAGTGATTTCACTGTCGTGGAATGGCTGATTGATTTCACTCCTTAGGCTCCTGAGGTTTTTGGTTTGCTTTGATCCCTTGACTTTCTCACAATGCCCCCCCCCTCTGCTCTCATTCTCCTCTCCCTTTCACCCTTCCTTTCCAGTCGAAATCTGCAGTGTGCTACCCACCAACCCCTGCGCCGTGGGGCAGTGCATAAACAGCGGCAACCGGCATCTCCATGCCTCATTTTCTCATATCCTTCACTGCTTCCCCCCTCCCTCCCCCTCAGTTGAAATCTGCAGCGTGCTACCCACCAACCCCTGCGTCGTCGGGCAGTGCATCAACAGCGGCGACGGCGGCTACTCGTGCCTCTGCCCACCCAACTACAAGCCCAGCACTCTTGCCTCTGGCCAAATTACATGCGTTCCTGGTGAGGATAGGGGGAACGTTGTATTTTTTGGGGGGAGGGAGGGGAGAGTAGGGCTGGGAAGGAGGCCTCTGCCCGCCCAACTACAAGCTATGTTGATTTTACTTGTGAGAATTCTCAAAAGTAGCATCAACAGAGTGGGTCTGGGAAGGAGGCCTCTGCCCGCCCAACTACAAGCTATGTTGATTTTACTTCTGAGAATTCTCAAAAGTAGCATCAACAGAGTGGGTCTGGGAAGGAGGCCTCTGCCCGCCCAACTACAAGCTATGTTGATTTTACTTGTGAGAATTCTCAAAAGTAGCATCAACAGAGTGGGGCTGGGAAGGAGGCCTCTGCCCGCCCAACTACAAGCTATGTTGATTTTACTTCTGAGAATTCTCAAAAGTAGCATCAACAGAGTGGGGCTGGGAAGGAGGCCTCTGCCCGCCCAACTACAAGCTATGTTGATTTTACTTCTGAGAATTCTCAAAAGTAGCATCAACAGAGTGGGGCTGGGAAGGAGGCCTCTGCCCGCCCAACTACAAGCTATGTTGATTTTACTTCTGAGAATTCTCAAAAGTAGCATCAACAGAGTGGGGCTGGGAAGGAGGCCTCTGCCCGCCCAACGACAAGCTATGTTGATTTTACTTCTGAGAATTCTCAAAAGTAGCATCAACAGAGTGGGGCTGGGAAGGAGGCCTCTGCCCGCCCAACTACAAGCTATGTTGATTTTACTTGTGAGAATTCTCAAAAGTAGCATCAACAGAGTGGGGCTGGGAAGGAGGCCTCTGCCCGCCCAACTACAAGCTATGTTGATTTTACTTCTGAGAATTCTCAAAAGTAGCATCAACAGAGTGGGGCTGGGAAGGAGGCCTCTGCCCGCCCAACTACAAGCTATGTTGATTTTACTTCTGAGAATTCTCAAAAGTAGCATCAACAGAGTGGGGCTGGGAAGGAGGCCTCTGCCCGCCCAACTACAAGCTATGTTGATTTTACTTCTGAGAATTCTCAAAAGTAGCATCAACAGAGTGGGGCTGGGAAGGAGGCCTCTGCCCGCCCAACTACAAGCTATGTTGATTTTACTTCTGAGAATTCTCAAAAGTAGCATCAACAGAGTGGGGCTGGGAAGGAGGCCTCTGCCCGCCCAACTACAAGCTATGTTGATTTTACTTCTGAGAATTCTCAAAAGTAGCATCAACAGAGTGGGGCTGGGAAGGAGGCCTCTGCCTGCCCAGCTACAAGCCGAGCACGCTCGCTTCTGGCCAGACCACCTGCGTGCCTGGTGAGCTGAGAGCTGGGAGTGTGGCGGGGGTTTGGAGACGAGGGAGGTGAGAGTGGGACTGGGAGGGAAGTGTAGTGGTGGAATGGTGGCTATTCGTGCCTCTGTCCGCCCAGCTACAAGCCCAGCACGCTCGCTTCTGGCCAGGCCACCTGCGTGCCTGGTAACCAAAGGGAAATGGGGGAGGCGGGAGGTGGGAGGTGAGTGTGTGAGGGAGATGTAGTGTTGAGAATAAAGGAATGGCGGCTTCTCGTACCTCTGCCTTGGCGTGCGTGCGTGCGTGCGTGTGTTCATTTCTTTTTCTTTTTCTTCTCTTCTCTTCTCTTCTCTTCTCTTCTCTTCTCTTCTCTTCTCTTCTCTTCCCTTCCCTTCCCTTCCCTTCCCTTCCCTTCTTTTCCCTTCCCTTCCCTTCTCTTCTCTTCTCTTCTCTTCCCTTCCTTTTTTTTTTTTTTTTTTTTTTTTTTTTTTTTCAGTCTTACTGTCCCTGATCCATTCTTAAGCACTAAACATGTTTGACATTGCACGTCCCATCCCTCGGCATGGCAGAGATGTCTGGGAGCACAGCAGCAGCGGTGCAGGGCACGTACACAGTGCAGGGGGGGGAGACGTGTGGTGCCATCTACGGCTTCATCGGCCTCACCCAGGAGCAGTTCCTCCTGCAGAACGATGTGAGAGGAATGAGAGATAGGCTGCTGCAGAATAAGGTATGAGTGATGAGCGATTAAAGTGATGAGACAAATAAGGTACCAGCCATGAGAGCAGTTCCTCCTGCAGAACGATGTGAGAGGAATGAGAGATAACTTCCGAGGCGCCTCAGAATGATGTAAGAGTGATGCGAGATATGAGAGCAGTTCCTGCAGCCGAACGAGGTGAGAGATATGAGAGCAGTTCCTGCAGCCGAACGAGGTGAGAGATATGAGAGCAGTTCCTGCAGCCGAACGAGGTGAGAGATATGAGAGCAGTTCCTGCAGCCGAACGAGGTGAGAGATATGAGAGCAGTTCCTGCAGCCGAACGAGGTGAGAGATATGAGAGCAGTTCCTGCAGCCGAGCGAGGTGAGAGATAAGTGCAGAGGGTTGGGATAAGAGCAGAGGTCTGGGATGAGAGCAGAGGTCTGGGATCAGAGCAGAGAAAATCCTACAGCAGAACGAGGTAAGAGCACTGAGCAGAACCCTAAATCCCCTGGTCAGGAAGTACCTCCCCGCAGGCGCCGAACCTGGTCAGCGCCATCTCTGTGAAGACCTCTGCCGATGCTGCTGCTGATTTTGTAAGTACGTACCTCTCTTCCCCTGCCATTTTCTCTCCTACCCCTCCATTTTCAACCCCCACCACCAGGGAGTAGATTGCGACAATCTCGAGGCAGGTCAGGTGCTCAACATCTCAACATCTCAACATCTCAACATCTCAACACCTCAACATGCCCATACCCTCCATCCCCACTTACCTTTCTCATCCTTCCCCACCTCCAATCACCCATCCCCCTGCATACACCGGGCCATGGACTGTGACAATCTCAAGGCGGGTCAGCAGCTCAACACCTCCATCCCCTCCCTGCCCGCTATCCCAATCCTGTCCCCCTTCCATTCTCCCCCCACCGCTCTCCACCCCACCATTATCCACCAGGGATTGGACTGTGACAATCTCAAGGCGGGTCAGGTGCTCAACATCTCCATCCCCTCCTCGGCTCAAGTGTGCCGCGTGCGCTACACTGTCACCCAGGTGCGTTACATGTCTCCCAGGTGCGTTACATGTCATCCAGTTGTGTTACAAGTCGCCCAGCTGCATACTTCGTCACTCGCTTTCCTCTATCAGCCGAGTGACATACACACCACCCGTCAACGCTCATTTCTCGCCCCTCTTAACTGCTGTCTCATCCCCATTGGTTCCTTCCCCCACCTCTTTCCCTGTCCGTCTCCCCTCCCCACCCACCCCAGGCGGACGCAGCAGCAAGGAGCTGTGATCCAATCAACACCCTCTTTGGCATCGACGTCACGACCATCAACCCCAGCCTTGACTGCTCAAGCCTCACGCCCAACCAGCAGGTGAGGCGAATGGAGGAGGTAAGGAAGTGGGGAAGTGGGCCTATTGGCGCAGCAGGTTGGAGAGCAGGGGGGTGGGGCAGTCAATATAGGCTGTAAGCACTTTGGCATCGACGTCGCGACCATCAACCCCACCCTTGACTGCTCAATCCTCACGCCCAACCAGCACGTGAGTGTGGTGTGGAGCGGTTCCAGTGGTGAGTAGAGGAGTACAAATCAGAGTACAAATCAGAGTACAAATCAGAGCAGCAGACCACACTAATCAGTGCTGAACCTGCAGCCGTCTCCCCTCCCCTCTCCTCCTCTTCTCTACTCCCCTCTCTCTCTCCTTCTCCTCCCTTACACAGATCTGCATTCAGGTGTGCCACGCGGCATCAGGATCAGCGAACTACAATCTGTGCACAGAGTACCAGCCAGTCACCCAGTGGTTCACCTACCCATTTCTCCCCTCCCGTCACCTCCTCTTCCCTCCTCCCCTCTGCAGATCTGCATTCAGGTGGGCGATGCCGTGTCAGGAGCAGCGGACTACAATCTGTGCACGGAGTATCAGCCAGTCACCCAGTGGTTCACGTGTGCCAGTGCTGTCGCAAACTACGGCATGTCATGGCTCGACCTCTACCGCCTCAACCCCGGCATCAACTGCGACTCCCTCAGCACGCTCAGAGGCTCCGAGGTACCTATGAGCGAAGGCGGTGGCTCTATGGAGGGTGGTTAGTCGGAATGGGTTTCAACATGTAGGTTCTTCGTTTTTCTCAATCCCGGCTCCGAGGTGCCAACAACATGGCGGTGGGGGCTGGCTTAAGGGAATGGGGTCAATTGGAGGGGTGCTACGCTAAGGGGGTGTGGCGCTAGGGGAACTGTGACTCCCTCGGCACCCTCACAGGCTCCGAGGTACCTATTCCTAAGGGGGGTGGGGCTAAGTGGGGGAGGTGAGATGGAGGGCGGCTTGAGGAATTGGGTTTCAACGAGCGGGTTCCTTCCAACTTCTGAAAAAAAAACTAGTTTCAATTATTAGACGTGTCTTTGCTCCACTTCTGAATCGACTCACAAACTGTGGGGCGCGTCATGGCTCGACCTCTACCGCCTCAACCCCAGCATCAAGTGCGACACCCTCACCTATCTTGCCCCTTCTGAGGTACCTATGAGGGGGGTGGCGCTAAGGGGGTGACTCTGAGTGTTCACTAGCTCAGAGGTGGTATTAGAGTCAAAGGTCTCGGGTTCGAATCCCAGTGTGCGTTGAGTGAGCACGGTCCTCTTACGAGCCCTAAACAAGAGGGGAATGACCCTAGTAAAGGGTAAATTGTTGGTGAGGCATTGGGATCGTTCTTTAGTTCAGTTCGGAAGGACTACAGGTGTGTACTTGGAGGTTTATGGGTGTGCTACCCAGAGTATAAACATGCCATTTTAACCTAGTCGGCAACAGGTCAGACCAACAATACATAGGGGGTTGGCTTTAGTAGTGTGGTGTTAGCGAAGTGGCATTAGAACCCAAAGGCAAATTCGCCTTCTGATGCACCTCGCTCAAGTCTTGCGCTATCTTTCCCTCCCTCCCTCCCTCCCGACCTCCTCCCTCTCCAACCCACCAGATATGCGTCGCTGGCACACTGTTGGGAGCGGTGGCGTGCGGTAAGGCGCGGTCGAAGACGGTGGCGAACCGGAAGTACACGGTGGGGGCGGGGGACAGCTGTGCGTCGCTGGTGGTGGTGCAGTTCCAGCGCCAGCCGTCGCTCGTGGGCGAACTCAACCGCGGCTGGATGTGCCGTTCTCAGAGCCTCTTTGCCGGCATGCCCCTCTGTATCCCTTCTTAGACCCAGCGGAATGGTGTGGCGTGTCGCTATGGACATTGACTTTTGCACTGCCTTTGAGTTTCATTTTGTGACGAGCATTTGTAGTTGAAGTGTGATGTATCATATGTAAGCTAATTTGATATGATATGTAAGCTAATGTGTCAAAATGTTATAATGCTTACATTGTGTAGGTTGTAGTGGGGTAGCCCATAAGGGGTACAACTCAATTAGGGTTAATACTTGTATCAACTTTCTGTTCAATGCATTCATTCTCGTTCAATATTCTGACATGGTTTCAGAGCAGATCCTGTTCCAGGACCGTTTCTTTTAGGGCCCACCACATAGCGCTGCCCCACTAGTCGCGTCGCCCTGCCCTGCCTGTCGTGTCGCCCTGCCCTGCCTGTCGCGTCGCCCTGCTGGCTGTCGCGTCGCCCTGCTGCTGCCTGCCGCGTCGCCCTGCTGGCTGTCGCATCGCCCTGCTGCTGCCTGTCGCGTTGCCCTGCCCTGCCCGCGCGCCGCATTCCTGGCAACCGCGCCGCCCTGCCCTGCCTGCGCGTCGCCCTGCCCTACCCGCGCTGAGCCGCCCTCCGGCCCACACCGCCCTGCTGCGCGCTGCCCTGCTGCTCGCGCCGCCCGGCTGCTGCCCGCCCTGCTACACGCAGCCCTGCTGGCCGGCGCCCTGCTACCCGCGCACCGCCCTGCTGGCCGGCGCCCTCCTACCCGCGCACCGCCCTGCTGGCCGGCGCCCTCCTACCCGCGCACCGCCCTGCTGGCAGCCGCACCGCTGCCCGCGCCGCCCTGCCCGCGCCGCCCTGCTGCTGCCCGCCCTGCTGAGCGCCGCCCTGTCGCAACGCCCTACTGCCCGCGCGTCGCTCTGCTGCCTGCGCACCGCCCTGCTGGCAGCCGCACCGCCCTGCCCTGCCCACGCGCCGCCCTGCTGGCCGCCACCCTGACCTGCGTTGGCCGCGTGCCACTCTTCCATAGTCGTGGGCTGCCTCTCCCTGCCCTGCGCGCTTCCCTAGTGCTCGAGCGCCGCCCAGCCTGCGTGCTACCCTGCTGGTCGTGCCTCACCCTGCTCTGCCCGCTATGGCTTCTCTCAGTGTTCTCACCTTCGATCATGAGGGCCGTCCGATCCAGTTCAATACAGGGCTAGACGACTTACAGCTGTACCTACTAAGCGATTCTAGAGATAGCGTTTCGTTGTTTGACCACACGTCTGGAGCCTCTCTCGCCCCTCCCGCCATAGCTGACAGTGCGACTCGCTCACAGTGGCTTACCCGTGACGCTGCTGCTCGCTTAGCCGTTCGCAACCAACTGCCGTTAGCCGAGCGCGCTCACTTTGGCTAGCACAAGACTGCTAAAGCCCTGTACGACGCTGTAGTCGCTCGTTACTCTTCCCCTGCCAGTGCTGCTCTCGGCCGCCTTATACTGCCCTACTTGTTTCCTGAGCTGTCAGCCTTTGCCACAGTCGAGGACCTCGTTACCCACCTTCGCACTAGCGACGCTCGCTACCGCGCTGCCGTCCCAGCAAAGTTCCTTGACAGGAACCAGCCCTCGATGTTCATCACTCTCTACTTTATAGTCACCCGCCTCCCTAACTCTCTTCGCTCTGTCAGGGACCACTTTCTCGCACTTGACCCCACAGCCCTCACTGTTGACCTACTCGAGCAGCACCTCCTTGCAGCTGAGACTAGTATAGTCGTTGTAGGTGCTGCTCGTGGCACTCCTCGCACGCCCTTCTTTGAGGGGTGCTCCCCCTCCCCCCTTGCCCCCTCCTACGCCTCTGCTGCTGCTGTTGACGTCCTTGGTCCTGAGGACGTCGGGGCTGGTTCTGCTAGTGGGAAGCACCGCAGCAGCAAGGGCAAGGGTGGCAGGGGTGGTGGCGGTGGCAGCGGGGGTGGTGGTGATGGAGGCAGTGGAGGCGGTGGAGGTGGCGGAGGTGGTGGTAGCGGTGGGAGTGGTGGCAGGAGTGGGGGCTTCGGTGGCGGCAGTGGTGGCAGCAGTGGGGGTGGGGGTGGCAGTGGTGGCGGCAGTGGGAGTGGTGGCGGCGGCAGTGGTGGCGGACGGGGTGGAGCTGTTCAGCGGGGAGGTTCTGGCGGAGGCCAGAGGCAGCAGTAGCAGCGACGGAACGAGACCCCTACGCCCCAGCAGCTTCGTGAGTAGTTTGCTCAGCGTGGGGCGTCTGGGGGTAGTGTTCGCTGACCGTATGTCATTCGCACAGGTGACCGCGCTGGTCAGACATGCGGGAAGTTTCACACTCAGCACCGCTGCTTCTCCCGCCTTGACGATGCTTGGCGCGCAGAGTTTGGAGACGAGGCTGAACGCCCCCGTTGGCTAGAGCTGCTTAGGTGTGGAGTTCATATCTTTACTCTTGACTATGATTCTATCCTTGCTGCCATGTATGCCTTGTCTGTTAGTGCTGAGGGTGACTATTACCTCTGTGCGTCGTCCAACCGAGGTATAGAGGCTGCTCCTCTAGGTGCTAGTGAGTCTGCTCTCCCTGGTACTGCGCCTGCTGAGGCCTTGCACACCTTCACACTTGACTCAGGTGCTTCCCGCTGTTTCTTTCGCGACAGTACCACCCTCACTCCACTCCCTGCACCTGTTCTAGTCAGGGGGCCCAATCCTTGCCCGTTCGTCCACTATTCTCCTGTGTCCTGCGGTTCCGTCCGGCTCACACTCACGTCTTCACCTCCCCTTGTTCTCTACAAACTTGGTAAGTACCGCTGCCCTCAAGGATGCGATGGTCACTACCACCACTCTTGGGGGTCAGCGTGTGTCGATCTGCATGTGTACACGGACGGGCTGACACCTGGCCACGTTCACCCGTCGGCCTGAGTCGAGCATGTACACACTGACTGCTGAGCCTCCTCAGGTAGTTGCGTTTGCTCAGGTGTCTGCGTCAGGTCCGGTAGTAGCTCCCTGCTCGTGTCGCCTCCTGTCGCACCAGACTCTCCCGTGGCACCACCGCCTTGGTCACCCCTCCTTGCCACGCCTTCGTGGCATGCACTCCCACCTTCTAGTTTCTGGTCTTCCCAGGTCTCTACCTCCCCTCCCGCCCTGGCCTGCCCCACCCTGCCTTCCTTGCGTTGAGGGGCGGCAGCGCACAGCTCCTCACTCCTTCTCGTTTCCCCCGACGACATCTCACCTACAGACTCTCCACATGGACATGTGGGGCCCAGCCCGCGTCAGTGGATAGGACCGCGAGTGCTACTTCCTGCTGGTTGTTGACGACTACACGCGTTACACCACGGTATTCCCCTTGCGCAGCAAGGGTGAGGTCCCTGATGTCTTGATCCCTTGGATCCGCGCAGTCCGTCTCCAACGCCGCGGGTGGTTCCGCGAGGACCTTCGTGTCCTGTGTCTGCACTCTGACAGAGGTGGTGAATTCTCCTCCGGCCTCTTGCGGGACTTTTATCGTGGGGAGGGCATTCCCCAGCCGTTCACGCTTCCGGCCTCCCCGCAGCAAAATGGGGTTGCTGAGTGGCGCATTGGCTTAGTCATGGAGGTGGCTCATACCTCCATGATCCATGTGGCTGCTCCCCATTTTCTGTGGCCGTTTGTGGTCCGGTACGATGCGCATCAGCTCAACCTCTGGCCCCGTGTCTCCTTGCCGGAGACCTCGCATACTCTGCGTTGGACGGGGAAGGTTGGCGATGCGTCGGTGTTCCGGGTCTGGGGCAATCGTGCCTTTGTTCGCGATACTTCCGCGGACAAGCTCTCCTCCCGCGCTATTCCCTGCGTCTTCCTTGGCTTCCCCCCTGACGCGCCTGGCTGGCAGTTTTACCACCCCACCTCGCGTCGTGTCCTGCCCTCTCAGGACGTCATGTTTGACGAGTCGGTTCCCTACCGCACTGCCCCTCTCCCCCCCCCTGCCGCTCTTCCTCGCTCCAAGTCCCCCTCCGGTAGAGCCCCTCCCCCCTCAGGGTCCTGCTCCCTCAAGTGTGTCTCAGGCAGACCCACTCCCCCTGGCTGTGCCTGTCGAGATCGCTGTAGACTCAGGTGCTGCTAGAGGTGCTGCGTCTGGGGGTGCTGCGTCTGGGGGTACTGCGTCTGGGGTTGCTGAGCGTGCGAGTGCGGAGCCTGGGGGTGCTGAGCCTTAGGGTACGGATCCTGGGGGTGCTAAGTCTGAGGGTGTGGAGTCTGGGGGTGCTGAGCCTGAGGGTGCGAAGCCTGGGGGTACTGAGCCTGAGGGTGCGGAGCCTGGGGGTGATGAGTCTGAGGGTGCGGAGTCTGGGGGTGCTGAGACTAGGGGTACTGCGTCTGCCGGAGGTCTTGCAGGTGCCTTGCCACGACTGTCTCACCGACGGGAGCCTCTCTCACCGCAGTAGCTTCGCGAGTGGTTTGCTCAGTGCACACGCGTTAGGAGTGGCGGTGCAGGAGCTAGAGACCCTGGAGCTAGAGGTACTGGCGCTGGGGGCACTCGAGTTGGAGGCACTGGAGCTGGATGTCCTGGAGCTTCTAGTCCTGGAGGTACTTGAGTTACTGCTGGAGCTGGAGATATCAGAGGTGCTGGAGCTGCTGATCCTGGAGGTGCTCGTACTGGAGGTACTGGAGCTGCCGAAGCTGGTGGAGCTGGAGGCACTGGAGCTGGAGACCCTGGAGCTGGAGGAGCTGGAGCTGGAGGCGCTGGAGCTGGAGACCCTAGAGCTGGAGGCACTGGCGCTGGAGGTGCTGGAGCTCGAGGAGCTGGAGCTGGAAGCACTAGAGCTGGAGGAGCTGGAGCTGGAGGCGCTGGAGATGGAGGCACTGGAGCTGAAGACCCTGGAGCTGGAGGTGCTGGCACTGGGGGTGCCGGAGTTGGCGAACCTGGTGCTGGAGGCACTATGTAGCGGCGCCCGTTTTTTGTTCCGCCGCAGCCATCGTCTCTGCCGCCACCTGAATCGGTCCTTCGCTAGGTTCTTAGTCTCCTGTCTTCTACTGGCCTTACTCCTAGCTTACTGTGTCCACCGCCTCACCAGTCACAGCCACAGTTACAGCCAGACTCCCCACTGCCTGCTCCTTCTCCTAATGCTGAGCAG